TATAAGGCCTCCACTGTTTTTGTCATATTGTAGACTTTGTACTCTTATTGTTGGGTATTGGTTTGCAATTATTTATGAAATCTATCTAAGTTTTCCCAATAAACATCTGTGGATTAAGTAACCAAATACTAGCTAGAAATGACTTGGTAGAACATCATCTTATGACTGACAATTCGTCAGCTAAAAGAATTGTTATATTAATCCACTTTTTTTAGGTCTCTTTAATTTGTTACATTATTTGTAGTTATTTGATACTATGTGTTTAATGAGGCAATATTATATTTGCATTCCCATACTTAAAGTGTTGACAATCTGCAATTCTGATTTAGTTTAGTTCATACCATGGCATATTTGAGGGGTAAAAGACAATGATATTATTCAAATTGATCTTGTAACCAGACATGACACTTAATTGGGTAAAGATATTTAACAGCTTAGGAAGCGTAATTGGTACTCTACCAAGTACAGTAGTAGATAATCCGCTATAACTAATTTGTGGTTTGGGTGTCTTTTACAGCATATCTGGTTTACTTCTTTGGATTATCTTATTTCTGCTGCAAGCGGTTCTAGAAGAATTGCAATAACAGAAGCGCGGAACAGGCAACCTTGCCCGTGGCCAACAGTAATTGGAAATCTAGTTGACCCTTGGGCTGCTGTCAGAACATATACTTGGATTATCTATATAGGACCAAATTCACCAAGAACGCCATTCTTGCATTGTATGCCCAAAAAAAAATGGCCAGACAGAAGATTTTTATAATAAAACAGTTCCCTATTTATCGTGAATATTGTAACAAAGGTGGAACGTTTTGCCTGTTTTTTGGCACGTTTTTGAGGTAACACATACAGTGTTCTTTTATATAACATTTCCCACAATGGTACATGATAACAAAAGAAGAACATTTTCAAAGAACATTCGATAACATTTTCAGGATGTTACATTATTTTTTTATATAAACCTTCCTGTGATGGCAAATATTTAAATGGTCATGGTCAACGTCAGATTATATTTGTTAGAAGCGCTTTAAAACACAAGTGATGTATCCTTTTGATAAAAAACCACCAGCACATTAATTCATCATGATTACTGTAAGCATATATTGCATGTTTGCCGGTGGAATGTTGGAGTTCCCAGCTAAACATTTCTATAGTTCTAAAAACATTCTGAGAAATGTAAAACCCATTCACTGTTCTAGAATTGTTTCTAGCGGGAAGTGTTGTTTCCGACAGTTTTGTTCTTCTGAAAGGGTAGGATGACAATTCTTTAAAAACATTCTTGAATTGTTGGGTGATAACATTTCTTTAAGATGTTTTTGGTAACATTTGTAGAACATTATGCCCTTACTATTCTTAAACGTTTTCACGGGATGATTTTATTTTTGTTCCCAGAATATTCTCTGAAAGGTAGGAGATAGCGCTCTAAAACATTAAACATTTTTGGTGATAAATTCTAAAATGTTTGATAATTTATCTTCGAACATTATGCCTACTAGAGGTGTAACGTATCCGTATTCGTCCCGTACCGTCACGGGATTTCGGACTTCCACGTTCGGAAATGACTGCAGTCACACGACGGAATACGCCTTTTTTTACGAGTGTGAGAAAAATCTGGTCATTCAGGGCAGTATCACTAACTATAATATAATCCAGAGAGCGGTTATTGCGACTTAACAGCTGTTTGCCAGCGCCCTTAACAACACAAATGAAGAAGAAGAATAAACACAACAATCAAAACAATTCAACAAGTAAAGAAGAAAAGTAGATCTCGCGAGTTCAGATAAACCACACTGGGCTAGAAGCCACCTGCTCTTTTATCAGTATGTGGGAACATTTTGGGGTTCCTGTGGTACTACAATAACGATGGAGTGGGTGATCGGACGAGGACGGTGTTTCAGCGTTGTTCGACAGCGGTGCTGTATGTAATGTAAACACACGCCACAAAACGCTAAATACATATCGAAAGCAGTCACACCAGAATTCGCCCATCAACGGAGCCCGCAAAAAGACAAAAGCAGTTCAAACAGCTATCCCCGTGCGCTTTAAGAAGCCAATAGAGACATTAGAACGAGCCGTGAGGACCAAAATATAAATAACGGAAGCTTTTGCTATGTATTTCACCGCCCTTATGCAATAGTAGAGACACGGCCTTCATTGATGTGATTGAAGTGATAGAAACACTATTTATTATTTTAATTTTTAATATTTTCAGACATTTCGTTTTAGTTTTACAGCCATTATAGAGATAATACTCGGCCATCTGAGTGTGTGTGGTACTGTTTGTTTTTCACTGGTGTAATAAGTTAATTATTCAAAATGTTATAAGGTTCCTTATTTTTTTAACTGAACTTGCACTACTGGTTAAAAATAAATAAAAAACAAACCTGGAATTATGCATTTGGGACTTTGTTTTTGCTTTTTTCTTGTTGTACCGAACCCGTGACGAACCATGAACCCCAAACCGAGGTACATACCTAACACCTGCCATTCTGTGAACCGTGATTCTTGTGAACCGTTGCACCCCTATGCCCACTATTTCTTAAAATAATTTCAGACGGAACGTTTTAGTTTTGTTTCCCAGAATGCCTTTCTGAAAGGTAGGATAACGTTCTCTAAAAACATCATTCTAAAGTTTGTGATAACTTTTTAAGATGTATGAGCGCATTTGAGGACCGATGAATAGGACATATAAAAACGAATTGGCATCCCAATAAATTAGTCCCACAGTATTCATAATATCAATCATATGTGTAAAAATATCA